TTGTTTAATTTGCAGGTTTCCTAGATATTTTCTAGCTATTGACTTCCAATTTAATTCTGAGAATATTCCCTGTGGTTGGCATTCATATACTTCCCACCCCTCCAAAGCCACAGGAGCTCTGTCACCCACGCTGGACTGCAGTGAGTGGTGTGATCACAGTTCACTGCAGCCTCCAACTCTTGGGCTTAAGTGACCCTCCCACCTTAGCCTCCTAAGTAGCTGGTATTATAGGCATGCACCACCATGTCCAGCTAATCAGCTAATTTTTTTTTTTTTTTTTTTTTTTTGGTGGACACAAGGTCTCACTATTTTGCCCAGGCTGTTCTCGAATTCCTGGCCTCAAGTTATCCTCCCGCCTTGGGCCTCCCAAACTGCTGGGATTACAGGTGTGAGCCACTGCACCCAGCCTTTCTGTATACTTTAAATAATCTCTAGATTATTTATAGTATAATACAATGTAAATGCTTTGTAAATAGCTGTTATACTTTATTTTTTAAATTTAAAAAAATTGTTGTATTGTTACTGTTTTGTTTGTTTTCCGGATATTTTTGAGCTGAGGTTTGTTGACTCCACAAATACGGAGGGCTGACTGTATATGATTTCTTTTAAATGTATTGAGACTTGTTTTATGACACATCTTATGGTCTGTTTTGGTGAATATTCCACCTGCACCTGAAAATAGAGTATATTTTACAGTTGTTGGATGTACTGTTATATAAATGTCAACTAGATAAATATTTTGATAGTATTGTTCAGATTTTGTATCTTTACTGTTTTTCTATTTTTAGACATAGGGTCTCAGGCCAGGTATGGTGCTTGTAATCTCATACTTGTAATCTCAGCACTTTGGGAGGCCAAGACAGGAGGATCGCTTGAGACCAGGCTGGGTAACTGGGAGACCCCGTCCCTGCAAAAAAATTTTAGAAGTTAGGCACAGTGGCACTTACCTGTAGCCCCAGCTACTCGGGAGGCTGAGGCAGGAGGATCTCTTTAGCACAGGAAGTCAAGGCTGTAATGAGCTGTGATTATGTCACTGCACTCCAGCTTGGGTGACAGAGTGAGACCCTGTCTCAAAAAAAAAAAAAAAAAGGGTCTCGTTCTCTTGTTATTGCTCAGGCTGGAGTGCGGTGGCGTATTCACAGCTCACAGCAGCTTTGAATTCTTGGGCTCAAGTGATCCTCCCGCCTCAGCCTCCCAAGGAGCTAGGTCTACAGGGGTGTGCCGCCATGCCCAGCTAATTCCTTCAGTAGAGACGGAGGTCTTGCTGTTTTGCCGAGGCTGGTCTCGAACTCATGGGTTCAAGAGTTCTTCCCGCCTTGGCCTCCCACAGTTCTGGGATTACAGCCAGGAACCGCTGTGCCCAGCTGGCTCTTTTTAATCTACTTTGTCAGCCTCTGCCTTTTAATTAGAATTTGTACACGTGAACATTTAATGAAATGATGTATATGGTTAGATTTAGATGCACTTTTATTATTGCTTTCCTGTTTGTCCCCTCTGTTTTTTGTTGTTTGTTCTTTTTCTTCTGAATTGTTGGGCTCGTTCTGAGCATTTCATTTATCTGTTGGCTTCTCGGATCTGTGTCTTTGTGTTGTGTCTTAGTCATTGCCCTGGAGGTTCCAGTCTGCACACCTCTTAGCCTTCACTGTCTGCTCAGAGTTCATACTGTGCCCCTCACAGAAACGTGGGGACCTTGCAGTCATCTGGGTCCCTTGAATCCCCTCCTGACCTTTCTGTTGCCTTTCATGTGTATTACCTCTATGCGCGTTGGAAGCCCACTACACAATATTTTTTTTGTCTAAAGTCTTACATATTTAAGAACTCCTAAGAGGAAAACAATAGTTTTTTTTTTTTTTTTTTTTTTTTTTTTTGAGACGGAGTCTCGCTCTGTCGCCCAGCCTGGAGTGCAGTGGCCTGATCTCAGCTCACTGCAAGCTCCGCCTCCCGGGTTCACGCCATTCTCCTGCCTCAGCCTCCCGAGTAGCTGGGACTACAGGCGCTCGCCATCTCGCCCGGCTAGTTTTTTGTATTTTTTAGTAGAGACGGGGTTTCACCGTATTAGCCAGGATGGTCTCGATCTCCTGACCTCATGATCCGCCCGTCTCGGCCTCCCAAAGTGCTGGGATTACAGGCTTGAGCCACCGCGCCCGGCCTAACAATAGTATTTTATATTTACCATTTCTGTTGCTCTCCCTTCCCTCCTCAAGATCCAGGCTTCCCTCTGGTATCATTTTCCTTCAACCCGAGGAACTTTCTTGAGCGTTCCTCATACAGCAGGTATATTAGTGACAAACTGTGTTCGTTTTCTGCCATCTGAGAATCTTTATTGCACCTTCCTTTCTGAAAGAGATTTTCCCCGCGTATAGAATGCCTCGGTGCCTCTTTTCTTCAAGCACTTAAAAATATCCTACATAATGGTAAAAAGCAGGGTGGATCCTGGCCTGGGTCCTGGAAGAGAAGGATGCTCTTGGAAACTGCTGAGCCCTGAGCCCCACCTGGAGCTCAGTTAGTAGCAGTGCACCAGTGGAGGCCACACAGGCGCGGCTGTGGGGGACACTGGGGAGGAAGTCCGCGGGGATGCCTTTGCACCTTGTCCACAAATCTAAAACCATCTCAAAATCAGCGGTCCTTTAAAATATATTTACAGGAAGGATATCAAGGGGAGGGTGTCCCATGGACAGGTGGGCCGGCATGGGAACTCAGCCAGTCGGGGAACAGAGACCTGCCGAAGAATGGGGAGCTCTGGGAGCAGGCGGGGAGGTGGAGCTGTGGGCATGTCCCAGTAGGGGTTGAGCAGCTCCATAAATATCTTAAAGGGCACGGAGGCACAGTTTCTTATAGTCAGAGAATGGAGTTAGCAGGACCACAAGAGAAAATTAGAATGAGCCCAGAGTGCTGAGTTGGGAATGAGGACATCCTGCTCACAGCTGGCCTGCCACCTCCCGTGTCAGGGCCGGCCCGGAGTCAGGAGAGGCTGAGGAAGCCGGGATTGACAGCTGGCCTGCCACCTCCCGTGTCAGGGCCAGCCCGGAGTCAGGAGAGGCTGAGGAAGCCAGGGTTGGGACGCAGACTCTCCTGAGGGGAGAGGTGCTGCTGGGACTGGGGCCCACGTGGGAGGGTATGGGGAGGGGCTCTTGATCATGGCCAGTCTCGATGGCACCCTGGTTCTGGAGGGGACACCATTGTCTGTGGGAAACACACATGGAAGGTTCTGGGTGTCGGGAAGTCCAGTCGGCGACTGACTCAAGTGATTCCGGAGGAAGTTCTGTGTACTCTTCTTCCAGCTTTTCTGTGATTGCCTCAGAATTAAAGCAGAATGGCTAAGGACCCCGCAGAGGTAGTGACCCCCCAAAGGAGGTGGCACCTTTTGGAGGAGTGAGGCCGGGGAGAGGGAGGCGTCCGAGGCACTGCGAGGGAGGAGGCGGGCGGTGTCCCCTCGTTGTGCTCCCATGCTGGCCTCGTGTTGAGTTTTCAGCCATCCACTGGGGCCCCTTCTGTACACACCTCTCGTAGTCAGGACGAGGAGCGCCTTGTAAGGTCCCTCCTGTGGGACCTGCTGAAGAATGGGGAGCTCTGGAAGCAGGAGGGCATTTGTGCTCATGGTGAAGGGAGGGGCTGTCCTCTCCTGGAGGGCAGGGTCAGCGACTTCCTCACTGTGCCCTTGGCACCGGCAAGGTAGCTGGCTGTCATGAGCGGTGGAGTGAGTGAGTGACGGCTTAAATGAGGCTTTGAGAGTGACAGTAGCTGGCACTTAGAGTCTGCAGCTGTGCCGACCCTGCCGCCTCAGGGGTGTTTCCACCCACACCGCACATCAGGCACCAAGTGTCTGGGTTTTCCACACCAACAATTCGCCCGTCCTCTGCAGACACCAGCCAGGCATCCTGTAATTCAGTTCACTCTGACCCTGCCGTGGTGATCACGGACCCCGGGGTTAGGGGCTCAGTCACACCAACCCGCCCCCCACTTCAGATGCTGACCGCAAGTAGTGGGTCCCTGGGGTACCCACACTTCTGTCCATCTTGCTACACATTGGGGGTTCCTATGACCCCTTCAGGTTTGATGATTTACGGGAGTGGCTCACAGAACTCAGGAAGGCACTTAGTTTGCATTGCCAGTTTACTATAAAGGATGCCACAGCGGGCACAGGTGGGCAGCTGGGTGAGGAGGGGCACGGGCGAGGCCCAGAGGGTCCTGAGCACAGGAGCCTTTGTACCCAGGGAGTTCTGTGGCTGCCCTCACAGCACAGGGATGAGTTCACCAAACTGAAAGCTTTCCCAAGCCCCTAGTTCAAGGATTTCCATGGAAGCCTCGTCATGGAGACATGATCAGTTATGAACTCAGCCTCCAGCCCCTCTCCCCTGTTTGGAGGGTGGGGGTGGGGCTGAAAGGCCCAGGCTTCTCATCATGGCTTGGTCTTTATGATGACCAGCCCCCTCCCAAGGCCATCCAGGAGCCCACCAAGAGGTGCCTCATTAGAACGGAAGACTCTCCTGTCACCCGGGAAGTCCAAGGGATTTAGGAGCTCTGCATCAGGCACCCCTATCACCCCTGTCACTCAGGAAATTACCAGTGTTCTGAGAGCTGTGTGTCAGGAGCCAGGAGCAGAGGCCAAGTGTACACTTCTCATTCTGTCAGTGCCACAGCCAGGGCTGCTGTTGTGCAGCCATGTGGATCAGCTCAGCCCGTCCTCACCCAGCCCTGTCCTTACAAGTGAGGAGGCTGAGGCCACACAGGTGCGTGGCCTTCCCTTAGAGTTGCTTTCCAGAGCCTGGTGCTTAGCCGCTATGCTCCATGGTTAATATTCTTGTGTTCCAATATAACAACTTGAAAATTACACAAGATAACACTGTTGATAACATTTGAATAAATGGGTGTTTTTCAAGAAATTTTGACTTGCACTTCAGATTTCCTTTTTAATATTTTTGTTGAGCGGATACTTGCTGTTCCGTAAGAGGATATGTCCAGTGTTGTGGAAGATTTAATGTTTTAAATCCTTTGTACAGAAATCCTGCTCCCAAGTCACAGATAGGCTGACGGGTCAGAGGACAAGACGTGACCCAGGGCCGAGAGGGTGAGTGACCAGGAGAGTCAGATTCATCAGTTCACTTGTTCGTTTGAGAAACGTGCATGGAGACCTGCTGCATGAGACCCTCCTCTTCCATTTCTGTTTCATGCCCAGGGTTAAACCAAGCATCTCATTTTGCCAATCTGACTTCTGTAGGGGCCATGTCACCTGCAAGGCTTTTCTCAGCAAGATTGAGGACCGTGTTTGAGGACGTGGGGCATTGGGCTTTGTCCACACGGGCTGTCCTCGAGCCCAGCCGGCGACTGCCACAGCAGGCTTCTCCCAGGCTACTCTCGGTCGGCCGTGCAGACCACGCCAAGCGTCAGGAACTCCCGGGGAAGAAGCCGCTCTCTGAGAAAAAGCTGGTGAGACTTCTGGAGTCAGAGCAGCTTGCCTGTCTCCTCCTCAGAAGGCACAGGGTGTGGTTTTGGGTCCTCCTCTTGATCTCATCTCTGTGATCTTGGTGATGGGGCATGTGGAGCTTCCTGAAAATGATGGGGTGAAACGCAGGCCTGTGTGCGAAATCCCACACTCAGCAGATCCCAGCAGGCTGGGAGAGGCGCTGGGTGCTTGGAAAGCTGTGATACAGGCTGCTCATTTTACCATGAGCCTGTGTATCTTACATGTATGTTACATATATCCTTTAACATGTGTGGCTATTTCTTAAAACAAATGTAGGGGCTGGGCGTGGTGGCTCATGCCTGTTATCCCAACACTTTGGGAGGCTGAGGCAGGCGGATCACTTGAGGTCCGGAATTCGAGACCAGCCTGGCCAACATGGTGAAACCCTGTCTCTACCTAAAAAAAAAAAAAATAAAAAAATAAAAATAAAAATAAAAATAAAACAAGTCGGGGCAATAGACCCTCCATTTTCCTCCATTTTATGGCTCTTTTTTTTTTTTTTTTTTAGACGGAGTCTCGCTCTGTCGCCCACACTTGAGGTCCGGAATTCGAGACCAGCCTGGCCAACATGGTGAAACCCTGTCTCTACCTAAAAAAAAAAAAAATTAAAAAATAAATAAATAAAAATAAAACAAGTCGGGGCAATAGACCCTCCATTTTATGGTTCTTTAAGCCTTACAAGTTTTTCTTGTTCTGTTTACCAAAACCTCCTATTTCAAACATGAATTGTCTCTAATAAATTCAAGAAAATGCACATTTATGACTCCCTTCATTTCCTCCTGAATGGAGGGGCTTCAGATAAGCATTACTGGGACAAACCGCACTTCCAGTGGACAAGCTGCTTTGGTGGGATGTGTGCTCAAAATAGCTGAAGTGTCTGCACAGGCTTGTCTCATCCCCAGCAGAGAAAGTGAGCCGAGGTTTTGTCCTCCGTGTAGTGCTCACCAGTGGGGCTTTCTTCCCTGTCTGGTGGATTTTGCTTGCATTGGCACATGACAGCATTACATATTGAGATTTGGAAATAGCAGTTCATGGTTTTTCCACATGGTGGTGCCAAAGAATCTTAAAATGTTTGTATATTTTCTTTTAAAAGAAAAAAACAAAAAAGCTGCATTTGAGGAGTATTAGATGGGAGTGCAGAGGCAGCAGCCCTGGGACAGGGCTAGGGCGCATCTGTCGGTGCACATGGGCAGAAGCCAGGCGTCCTCCCCAGGGTGTGGTGAAGGGTTTGCCAGCACCCTGGGCTGGCGGGAGCGACCCCTCCTGTGGTAGGAGCCTGTTGTGTGTTGAACGCGTATCCTGGTTGGTTCTCTCTTATCCAGATGTACCCTGCCTTAGTGACCTAAAGAACAACTTTCCGCCGGGCGTGGTGCTCACGCCTGTTAAATCCCAGCACTTTGGGAGTCCGAGGCGGGTGATCACTGAGGTCAGGGAAGATCGAGACCATCCTGGCTAACACGGGTGAAACTCCGTCTCTACTGAAAATACAAAAATTAGCCGGGTGGGATGGCGGGCACCTGTAGTCCCAGCGACTCGGAGGCTGAGGTGGGAAATGGCGTGAACCCCAGGAGTGGAGCTTGCAGTGAGAGATCGCCACCACTGCACTCAGCCTGGCGACAAGAGCGAGAACTCTGGCCAAAAAAAAAAAACTTTCCCTCCAGCGAGGGCTCCAGTTTGCATCACGACATTTTTTAAATGAGCCCTGTTTTCGTCAAGGCCCCCAGAAAATACTCTTCCTTCAGAGTCGAACGCCTGGTTAATGTCCAGGAACGACTCTAACTCCCTGTTTCCCTGTCCGCATCCTGGGAAACTGGAACTTTCTAAGAGTTAAAATCTATGATTTCAGGAATGGGTTTTTTTTTTTTTTTTTTAAATGGAAAAACACATTATTAAGGACTATTTCCTAAACAAGATGTGGGTTTTTAGGTTAAAAATGCTGATTTTTGTTTGGTTGGGTGTGTTTTAAATCAGCTCTCA